CTAATGACAATTCAGCCTTCTAGTTTTATCCACAACGAAGTTACAGGCGGTCGAAAATGGCCTGAATTGCTTCGAGAAAAGGTTGGTACGGCCGTGCCGCTTTTTTGCTCGACTTGGTGGGGGCACTGCCGTGCCCCCAGATTTTGACAAACTTAATACCCCTATATTTTGAATACAACACATTACTTAACATAATGTTTTGATAAAGATTCAATTGAGAAACTTTGGTAATGTAGATATTGCTACATTGTCAGTCTTTGAATGTATTAAATGATTTAAATGTTATTAATTTTTCAGCCAATCCTAAACGGCAGAGACAGTGTAAGAAAAGTACTTGAAACATTCCAAGAACGTGGCGGAGAGTGGGCCAAAATAGCCACCCAATACTACGGGCCGGTCATCGAAAACTTCACTTGCGACAAGACTATTTACACGGCGGTAGAGGTAAATAACGCATTACACCGAAAATGCATCGGGTGCACTTGTATTATAGTTATTTTGCAACTGATACGTATAATGTTTCATAAGCGAAGTTTTTTCTTTCTTTTACGGTCCTAACGAAAATTGAACTTTTATAATAATTAATTAACCTTCACTTCCGACCTGAAAATCGCACCGTGTCTTAGCCTAACCGCGCAAATAACCGCTCCCGTGAGTTTTGAAATGAAACCGCAATTCCACGAAAGCCGCGGGCGCGGTTGAAAATCGCGCCGTGAGTTCTTAGCCATAGAGACCCTCTAAAGCTGACTTGATACAGCCAAGTCAAATTATAAACCTGTATATTGAAGCCATTGTAAGCTAGAATAGTTTATTTATCTTGCTACTTTGTTTTAAAGGTAACAGCCGGTAACCGTCTGTTTCACCACATCGTCGAGTCAGACACTGTAGGAACCAAGATCCTGAAGGAGATGAACCGGCAGAGTCTACCTGGAGAGGTGACGTTTATGCCGCTGAATCGTCTCCAAGTCCGGGATATGGTCTACCCCAATGATAATGTAAGTGTACTTATCAATAAACACCTTTATTACATACTAGCTTTTGCCCGCGGCTACACCCGCGTGAAATTTAGTTTGTCACAGATCGTCATAAATTATATAGCCATATGTTATTCTGGGTTATAAACAATAATACCGTAAAGTTTCATCAAAATCCGTTCAGTAGTTTTTGCGTGAAAGAGTAACAAATATCCAGACATCCATACAAACTTTCGCATTTATAATATTAA